GTGTGTTATCAACATTGTTCTCACCCTAAATCCAAACCACAGCACTGTACCAGCTACTAGGAAGGAAATTAACTCTATCCCTGCCGAAACCAGGAAAGTTGGCTATTGTATTTATACCTCGCTTCTGATAAGGAGCTTGTCTTTTGATAACATAGGGGACAGGCCTGCTTGCTTAGCTGCATCACTCTAATTTTTTAGGTATTTGTGCATATAGACACAAGGTCTGTATCTGTGGAATTAAAGGAATGACCTGGCTGCGTGTCTAACCGCTGAAACTAACTTTTAGGTAATTTAAGCCCAATGTAAATTGAGCAGTTACATGGTATTGGTAGCAGGGCTGTGGTTTGGTAAGCACAGTTGGGCTATTTCTTTGTTCTGTTTGATCTCCCCTTTTCAACAACAGTTCACAAATTTGGTGGGAGAGAAACGATGCTCTGTGGTTGCGCCCAGTACTGCCCCATCCAAACTCCTGCTGAGCCTGGTTGGGAGCATGGTAGGACCATGAGCAAACCTCTCCTCACTCTGAGGGACCGGGCAAAAGGCTCTCCTCAAGTAATAACTCCACCAGAGAGCCTTCCCCTTTGCAACACCCTCTTCTCTATAATTTCCTTCCCAAATGTCTGAAGCCAAAACTGTTCCCACCGGTGGAGTCCCTCATGCCTCCTACTACAACAGCTGATACTGGGGGAGGGAAGATTGATGGAGGAGTCAGAAGCTCTGGCCACTCTCTGTAGCAGCCACCTTGCCATCCTATTTCTGCCCCAAATGTCTGTATAGACACACAGGCATCTCCGAACTCTGTGTTACCTATGCACCATTGGAGGAGTTCTCCCCTCTAAATGCATACATACTGCTGGTCCCCAGAGCCCTGTGTTACGCGTGTACTAGTCTGTAGCTTGCAGTGGGGCGGCACATGGGGTGAATGCTTGAATTTATGCCAAATGAAACTAATCGGCTAAAGCAGTGGGGTCTAGGCAGTAAGAAATGGAGAAGTGGGAATGAACAAAAACCATGAGGTGTGTCTGGGTATAAAATAAAATTGAGCATCAAATTGAGACTGAGGTTAGAGGAAGACTTGTGGATTTATATGTGATATTCATGAGAGGCTCATTCTGAAAATAGAGCAGGGAGGGGAAAGGGAGCTGATCAATAGTTTGAAAGACACCGAATTATTCAGTCAATATAAGAAAGGACTAGCTGCTCTTTTTTTGGAAAACAGTCTTCCTGAGCCAAAGCACATTTCATCTGCAGGCTTATGAGGATGAAATCGGATGTTGGTCCTGTATGAAATGGTCACTGGAGGAGGATTGTGCAGTCTCTGCTTTGTTTTGCCTGCCTGTAGTGCAACTTTTAATTAGCTAATGGTGCAGAATATGGTACTCTCTTACACAAATTCTGTAACTCGGTATTATTTCCAGACAATTTCAGATATCAGATATCCAGATGTGAGAAAACATTTATAATAGATGTTTAATATGGTTGCTTATTTTTAAGGGTTGAAGTATCACTTCCACAGGGACTATAATGAAAACGTAACATGCAGTTAGATTTTTTTTGTTGTTGTTAAACTGTAGTGTTTGCTGCTAGCAAATAATTTAAAAATGAAAGCAACTTGTTTATAATGAAAACACAAATAATTTGTAGCTTGTCAAACAACTGGCAGCTCAGGCAAGTACAGCAGAAGCTGGAGCCCCTTCCTGACTCACCAGCTCAGAGCTCGTACAGCTTCAGCCACGGCTGGACCCAACTTTGGGAGTGTGTCTGTGTTCGCATCCTCAGCACGGCTTTGCGCACGTGGTGAGGGATGCTCACACAGCTCCCGGGTACTTTCTGCCTGCCGGGTTTTTCTTCTAACTGGAGCCTCGACATCTAACTGTCTTGGCTTGTCCTTCCCATTCCTTTAAATGAGGGCTGGCAGCCTTTTGAGGAAATAATTTGTACCGTTAAAAGACCCGAAGGGGGTGCAGGAAGGGGGTGCAGCCTGTAGCTCCTACCGCGCGGCTCTCAAACGTGGGGACAGAAGGACCTGGAATCTGTAAGTGGGGTGCGGGGGGCTGTGCCTGCCGGGCGGGGGCGGGAGCGCAGCCCGCAGCCC